AAATAAATAAATAAAATGCGATGGCATACCTACCTACCAAGGTAGCTCAAGAATTTTAGACACACCCAAATAAAGCTCCAATAATGTGTGCAGGGAGTAAATGCACGGAGGCAGAATGGTTATGACTAGAAGCTCCCCGAGGGCAGGACCTACGTATTGTTCCCTACCTTGTCCTTGGAGTCTACAACAGTGCCTGATACATACAAATAGTAGGCACTCAAAGACATTTGAGAGTAAATGAACGAAGACTGCTTAAACCTAATCAAGTACCTTACATCCTCTAACATCTTAAAGGAGGGTGGCCGTAACTCTGTCTCTTGAAATGGCTATAACCATCCTCTCTTCTCATGAGGGATTTCTGAAACACATTCCTCATCCCTCTGCTTAGCAACCTTCTGGGCTTTTCACCTGCAGGATGGAAACCCTTTCAGACAAGGTCACTCTCTTCCCATTAGTCTCCCTCACTTATTCTGTCTTCTGGCCACATCTCACCACCTGAACTTTTTCCATCTTGGTGCCTTTGCCTGTGTTTTTCCCCCTGCCTGGCCTATCCCTTGAACTGGGTATTTCCACCTTGGGGAAGCCTTACCCACCTCTCCAGGCTGTTACCTGTGCTGATACCATTCTGGGCTTGCTTTTCTTGAAGCCCTTGGTGCACGACATTCAAACGATTGGTTTCCTTGTCTCCATCACCACACCATGCAGCCCTCAGGAGCAGGGACTGTGTACGCATTATCTGTGCCTCTGGGAGGCCTGCCAGTGTGCCTGGCAGTCAAGAAATGTTTATGGAGGGAAAGCCAATTCCAAGCCAAAGGGTGGCGTGTGCTGGGAAAAGCTCTGCTGGGTGCTTTTCACTGTAAATGATTACCACTGTGGACAACTCAGTCTTGATCTTGAATAGGCTCTGGAGATCATCCGGGGCTGTCAAGGCCTGAACGTGGTGGGCTGTGATCTCGTCGAAGTTTCACCACCGTATGATCTTTCTGGTAAGTAAGCAAGAAGACTGTGATCCATGGGCAGCTGGCAGCTTAAATTACATGAAGCTAGTTAATAAGCAGAAAATGGGGCTGGGCGTGGTGGCTCATGCCTGTAATCCCAGCACTTTGGGAGGCTGAGGTGGGCAGATCACCTCAGGTCAGGAGTTCAAGACCAGCCTTGCCAACATGGCGAAACCCCGTCACTACTGAAGATACAAAAATTAGCCAGGTGTGGTGGCACACACCTGTAGTTCCAGCTACTCAAGAGGTTGAGGCAGGAGAATCGCTTGAACCCGGGAGGTGGAGGTTGCAGTGAGCTGAGGTCATGCCACCGCACTCCAGCCTGGGTGACAGAGCGAGACTCCATCTCTTAAAACAAACAAACAAAAACCAGGCCGGATCCAGTGGCTCATGCCTATAATCCCAGGCCTAGGCGGGTGGATCACCTGAGGTCAGGAGTTCAAGACCAGCCTGGCCAACATGGTGAATCCCTGTCTCTACTAAAAAGAAAAAAAACAAAAACAAAAACAAAAAACCCCAGAAAACAAAACAAAACAAAACTAGAAAACATCAGCTGGGGTTTGTTTTTTTTTTTTTTTTCTTTCTGAGATGGAGTCTAGCTCTACTCCCCAGGCTGGAGTGCAGTGGCCCAATCTTAGCTCACTGCAATCTCCGCCTCCTAGGTTCAAGCAATTCTCCTGCCTCAGCCTCCTGAGTAGCTAGGATTATAGTTGTGCGTCACCACGCCCAGCTAATTTTTGTATTTTTAGTAGAGACGGAGTTTCACCATGTTGGCCAGGCTGGCAGCTGGGCTCTTAATGTTACTTATTGTAACTCATTTCCTGTAAGAATCTACTCTCAAGTTGATGTACCCTCTATGACAGCAATTCCTGAAATCTGCAGTTCAGCTGTGGTGATCTTAAGCATGTGTTGAGTTACATGCAAATTCAATTCTGTTGATAATGTGTCCATAATCAAATCATCATCTTGCAATGCAAGGGCCACCCCATAATTATCACACATTAAAATAGTTTATTTCTTTTTCCATTCTGTAATCTTAAAATAACATTAGCTTCAGTGCCTGTTCACAATACAAAAAAAGTCAAAAAACAAAAAACCACCCAAAACATAAAAAAGAAACAATTTGACAAATAAGTTATTTGTTCCTAAGAGTATCAAAAGTGCAAAATATTCACCTTCTTTTTAGATCTCTCCCAAGTACAATCATCTTCCTTGACAAACTGAACAGGCAGATTCAGCAGCTGCCATACTGCACTTGTTTCTAGGGGACAATGTCAGACAGCTGGATGTAAACTACAGTTCATCTGTAAAGATGTTTGGTATCAGCTTTTAAAGAATTTTAGTTATTGGGAGGCTGAGGCGGGCGGATCACGAGGTCAGGAGTTCGAGACCAGTCTGACCAACATGGTGAAACCCCATCTCTACTAAAAATACAAAAATTAGCCGGGCGTGGTGGCGGGCACCTGTAATCCCAGCTACTCAGGAGGCTGAGACAGGAGAATCGCTTGAACCTGGGAGGCAGAGGTTGCAGTGAGCTGAGATTGTGCCATTGCACTCCAGCCTGGGCCACAGAGCAAGACTCGTCTCAAAAAA